CAAAAATATCCTTGCATTAAAATTTTAATTCAAAATTGCCAAAATTATAAATTTCCTAATTTATCAATTGATTTGCGGTTAATATTGGTTCTCACAGTTACCACAAACTAATTAGTTCTCATTTGATTAGACCCCTATATATATATATATATATATATATATATATATATATGACAAATGCATATTTTTTTATAAGAAGTGTAACTAAAAAATATCACAATCTAATCATCATTTTATATATTTTATACAAAAACATGAAAAGATAATGAATCAACCAACTCTCTTTTTAACTCTCCTCTAATAAAATTAATTGGAAAAAAGAAAGCAAAAAGCAAGTTTGGTGATTCAAAACAAGCATATGCATTTAATAGAATTTTTAAAAAAAATTATTACAGATAATTTCAATCGATCCCATATGAAAGCAGTTTTTAAAGACATCAACATGAATGATATTTTTTGACTCATTCAACAGCTGATGCTAGCAGGAGTGTCTGCAATCCAACCCAAAACCTGTATTTTATTTAGACAAATTCTCCTCACTTCTTTGTCAACTGAGCCACACGTAGTGGAATATTAAACCATATTTTTTATTATTAAAAAAACATTTTTAAAATTTTTATCTGTAATTTTGATATTCTTTTTATTTTCTAAATTTGTCTTTATCGCGGTATATATTTAATGCAAACAACAAGTTTGATCATTGATTGATACTGATGTTGATATCGCTGGTAATTAAATGAGTACTGGTGGAGTAGTCATGGTTGGTTGGATTACGATGCAAAAAAGAAAGTCGTTCGGTAATGCATGTGTTTTTTAGTATGTGTGTTTTCGCTAAGTGAAGTTGACTTATGTGTATATATTAATTCGAGTGATGTTGATCATATCGAGCGATATTGATTACTTATTTTTTAGTCAAAATAACTGAAATATATGACTGATAAATATTTTTATCTGAATATGCAAAAAAAACGTTGCAATACGATGACTTTTGATTGATTTTGTGTTATGTTTATTAATTGCCATACTTCGAACGTCGTCAATTGACATAATTACCGGTTTAAAAGTTTGTTACTATTTCAAAAATATAAAAATTCCCAAATTACCCTTCAAAAATTCATTCAATTGTTTAGGTGAACATATGATTAATTCAATGAATCCCTAAAAATAGCTTAATTACATATAACAATCAAAGTTAAAAAAGGTTTAACCGATCCAATTGAAACCGATTGATTCGATTAGAACCGACCGACCATAATTGGACCGGATTGGATTGAAAATTTTAACATTCAATTTGGATCAGTCGGTTCTCGGAAGACAGTCCAGAACCGAACCGATCAACATCCGATGACCCTTCAGTTGTCCATCCAACCATTATCCAACTATCATCAAATTAATTTATTTTCAAATTGCTTAAATTGGAATTTGTTTTATGCGAGGCTTTGAATTTCTAACTTCTCTTGTGTTGGTTTTAACACATATTTAGAGTGATTAATCAATTTGTATCATTGTTGGACAATTAGATTGAATTAATACACTGGATGAAACCAATCCCAACAGATCATCCATTGGATATCCGATTGGTATCCAATACAAGTATCCAGTGGATGAAACCCAACCAATCCAATCACCCATTGGATTGGATTGGATTGGATCGGTTATCCAATGTTAATCGGACCGGATGGCAAAATCCAACATCCAATGGATGTCAACTGATGAACATACCTAATTTTGAGGGGGGAAATGGATGCTTTTTCGAATTGAGCCTCCCGGTACTGAATATGAACATCAAGGAAGTTGGAAAATATACGTGTTTGATCAGTGAATTAGAAGATGAATAGTCTGTTGCTATGAAAGACTCCTTATATTTACCCGACTATCCTTTAACCACTGTAAAGAGTTAAATAAAACCATTAAAAAACTTGGCTAAAAAAAGACCTCGAAGCCCGAAGCAGGCTAGACCTTAAAGTCTACCAGGCCGAAATATTGGCAACCTACTTAGCCCAAAAGAGCCATACCTGAAAAAGCTCCAAAAAACTCGGTTAAGACGTAAAAAGCCCGATGAGCTATTTTTTAACCCCAAAACCTGGCCTACACCAGGTCCGACCTTAAAAAGCCCGAGCCTTTTTAATTATTAACTGAAAACGGACCTAGAAGAAGTTTACTTTTACATCTCTATTTACAACACTTGTGTGTTTTGTAACGATTGTGTGATTATTTGAATCGAAGGAAATACTTTTGAGAATGCTTTAAATCATGAAATCTATGAGAACCAGTGAATCACGTGTTATTTTATATAATTTTCTTTTCATCTATCACTATAATTTAACATACATTTTCTTTTTCAAAATCTGTTAATTTTATATGTATTCGGTTCACAATACAAATTTTTTAGCGTACTTGTGAAACAAAAAGGTACATGTAAGAAATTTCACATGGTAAACCGAATAAACAAATACAAATATATTTGATCAATACATTAACATTTATATTTTGATAAAAAAATCATATAAAACAACAGGGTAAACCATACATTAAAATTTCACATAGTAAATCGAATGAACAAACACATTGTAAAACAAATATATGTTGATCAATAAATTAAGTATTATATTTTGATAAAAATCATATAAAAGAACATGTGAAAATAGAATTTTCCGTGGATCTGAAGTTTTTTAGAGTTTTCAAAAGATAAATCCTTCGGTCGACGGTGTAATAGTTCCATTAAAAGACAATCTTTGAATCATTAAGAGATGAATCTTGTTTGGCAAAAAAAAAATATGTGTCTTAATGATTTTAAAATATTCTGAATGGTTTTGTATCATAGATCTCCCTTAACCATTAAGAACACTAATTTTATTGTAAACAATTATTAAATAATTATATTTTATTTTATACTATATCATGTGAGCCTTTTAATTATTCTGACCATTTAATAAGTTTGCACAAAACCATTCAACAACCGCAGAAAAGCCATTTATAACATCGCAATTTCAATCGATAAAACACATTTGAAGAGAGCGAATTCATCAACGAAAACATGCAACCCAGAATTCGGTCGTTGAGATATCTTTGCTCCCGGAAATTTCATATCTTTTCCAAACCCCAACCTCAAACCCTCCTACAATTCAAACAGAATCAACCTTTGATCTTCATTAACGAAGAATTCCTTTCAACTTTCCGAACTTTTCACAACCAAACTCATCAAAGTTCAAAGAATTTCAGTGAAGGCGATCAAGAACTCCTCCCGCCGGCGATACTAACTACAGATGAGCAATCAGCCATGGACAACAAAGCTCTACAAATTCAAGACCTTCTCAAACAAATGAGCGAGCACAAAACCGTGAATGAAATCGAACAAGCTCTCACTGGATTGGGGTTGTCGCTAAATGAGGATCTTGTGCTTAACGTGCTTCGCCGGAACCGTTCCGATTGGAAGCCGGCTTATATGTTCTTCAATTGGGTTTCTAGCGCTAGTGGGTACTCACCTGGAACCGGTTCCTACAATGAAATCCTCGACATTTTAGGACGAATGAAGCGTTTCAATGAACTCTGCCAACTGCTCGACGAAATGTCTAAGAGAAATAAAAGTTTGATCAATGAAAGAACCTACGGCATTGTGGTGAATCGTTATGCAGCTGCTCATAAGATCGAGGAGGCCACCGAGTTTTTCTACAAACGAATAGCATTTGGTCTTGATCTTGATCTAATAGCTTTTCAAACACTCCTATTATCATTGTGTCGATATAAGCATGTCGAGGCTGCCGAGTTCTTGTTCCATTCCAAGAAGAACGAGTTTCGGCATAACATAAAGACCATGAACATCATCCTTAATGGATGGTGCGTTTTGGGTAGTTTACGCGAAGCAAAGAGGTTCTGGAATGATATCGTTACATCTAAACACAAGCCGGATAAGTTCACATATGGTATCTTTATCAATTCATTGACCAAGGCCGGCAAGATAAGCACCGCGGTTAAGCTGTTCCAAGCCATGTGGGCAAAAGGGTGCACCCCGGATGTGGCTATTTGCAACTGCATTATCGATGGGTTGTGCTTCAAGAAACGGATACCCCAAGCTCTCGAAATATTCAAAGAAATGAACGAGAAAGATTGTCGTCCTGATGTTGCTACGTACAATTCTCTCATCAAACATCTATGCAAGATTCGAAGGATGGAAAAGGCGGACGAGCTTTTGAAGGAGATGAACAAGAAGGGCGGGGATTGTTTGCCGAATGCTAGGACTTACGGGTACTTGTTGAATTCGGCGAAGAAGCCAGAAGAAGTAGTGGAAATCGTGGAGAGAATGGAGAGAAACGGTTGTAAGATGATGGCGGATACGTATAATTTGATTTTGCGGCTTTTTGTGGGGTGGGAGGATGAAGAAAAGGTGAAATCGACGTGGGTCGAGATGGAGAGGAGTGGGTTGGGACCGGATCAGAGATCGTACACGATAATGGTCCACGGGCTCTATGAAAAGGGTCGGATAGAGGAAGCTATGGCGTATTATGAGAAGATGACATCAAAGGGAATGGTATCGGAGCCACGAACCAAGTTATTAGTCGATGCCATTAAGATCAAGCTCGAGAATAGAGATCAGAAAAGCATGGCACAATTGTGACGAGCTATTTAGTTCAATGACCTTCTCGAGAAGCCGGTTCTTGTAAAATGACCCTCCAATGTATTTTTCTAGTTTTTTCGGGTGCTTTTTTACATCATGAGCCAGGTCAAATGAACGTAACTGCGTTAAAAATAATTAAAGACTATTTTTTAATTGAAAACTCATTTAAGGTCGTTCAACAAAAGTGCGCAGTTATGGCTCTGAAACTAAAGCATCCGGGTTCAAGTAATGCACATCTTTGTGCTTTTAACACTCATTTTATTAAGCTTTGTATGAGTTAAGTTTGTCTTTATTAGAAGACTAGAAACTGATGGGTTTGGATTATTTTTAGAACATTTATGGTGTTAATTTGATTGAGATTGCTTAATGGGAACAAGTGAGGAGTCGTGGCTTATTCCATATAACTTTGGCTTAAGCCTTAATGGCTTAACAATTAAGCCGTAATGAAACACTCCTTTTCCTATATGGTTTGAGCGAATAAGCCGTCCAAGCCATTAAGCTCTAAATAAACAACCCCTAAGTCCAAGGTAAACAAATTCGGATACAAATAAGAGCTAAAAACGTCCAACACTAAAACCGTACGCATATACTGATTGTCAAGTTTTGGTGTTCGATTTTTTAAGTCAAACTGAAATCAAGCTTGTGGTAAATCTGATCCTTTTAAGCTCTTGAATCAAACTTATATTATCATAGTTTTTAACTTGAGCTCCAATCTCAAGCACTCTTATCTTGTTCTTTTGCCACAACTTACGTTCCACGACAATATGAGAGCGCTTACCATCTCTTACAACCGATGAAACTGCTTAAAATGGATTCAAGATCATTAGATTACAATCGCTTACGTTCCTTACAGAAAGCAAAACATACGGCATCACATCACCTTTTTCTAGTTTGGAGGCGGAAAGGTGAAAATACCCGATGCTTCAACATTTTGCATCCACCCATTTTGCAACTTCAAGAACCCTAAAATCTATCGGCAGTTGCAACTTCAGGTTGAGCTTCCCGTTGACGTCCTTTTGCAAGATAAGGGCCCTTTCTAATAGCTTCCAGCAGCTGCATAAGAAACAAGTTAACAGACCAAACCAACGGGTCATCGGCCCAACAATATCTGAGTTATTGGTAAAGTCCAACGGGTTATTTAGCTATATAGGTTTGGATTCACACGAGACCAGCCTGTTGTAGTGACTGTTGTAGTGAGACCTGTGAGACCACAAGATAACGTTGAAACTTCACAACAATTTGTTGTGAAGGTATGAGAATCAGCAAACCTTCACATCAAAAGACTGTTAAGATAAACCTTCAGTCTTCTGCTATGAAGGTTCAGTGTATTTTACGTGGTCTCACGAAAACAGCTTGGTCTCACATGACCCCAAATCTAGAATGAGATCTTAATTAAATTCATGACCTCTTGGCGTACTAAAGAAAAAATGGCAGGAAATTGACCAAAATACCCGACCTTTCCAACCAAATTCATTTTTCAACCATTATCGGAACCAAATTCCTATTTTATCCTGAGTTCACACAAATGCCTTAAGCATTTGCGTAAAGCCTATTTCCAGATCAACAAAAAGAAAAGGAAAAAAAATTCTTTACGCAAATGGAGATCCTTGTGTGAATTCTTCACACCAATGTGGATCCTCAAGCAAATTTGCGTGAAGATCTTTTTTTCTTTTCTTTTAAAATCTGAAAATAGGCTTTATGCATATGTGCTAGACATATATGTAACTCTGGCTAAAATGAGAATTCCCTTAAAAGTCAAGTTGGTTGGGGAGATTAGCTATTTTGATCAATTTCCCAAAAACTACTCCATATCCATCAGAAGGTCATGGATTTAATTAAAGTTTGGGGCTTGCTCGAAATCTGTCAAATACGATCCCTTCTTTCTCTATTCAATCCAAATATACCAGAGTCCGACCTCCCAAGAGGTCAAGGGTTTAAAATCCAGAATGTGCCAGTATTTGCTGTATATAAAATATTATATACTCAAACAGGATTCAAAATCCTGGGGAAACGACTCGTTGTTTCCATGTTGTGTTCCATTTATTTATTACTATCACTCGGTCTAAAAAACACAATATTTGATCTGACCCATAGTTTGATAAAAGTAATAAGACGAATGTTGAGAAGAATTCGCCAATATCTTATAATGCTGGCTTGCATTACAGATGGTAAATTTTGCAAAAAGTTCTTTATGGAAAAGGAATCATTTGCAGTTTCTGTAACCATCCTAAATAGAAAATAGTTCTTTTGGACTGGAAAACACCATTTTTCTTGCTTTCTTACATAAATGGGACCCATGATACGAAATATAAGATGGCCAAAACAATTTGGATAGCATCAATGAAGAAGGATTGTAGAGGGTCACACATTTGCAGAAAGGCAATGATTCGTGGTATTAAACTAAAATGGAATTAAACCTTTTCGGCTGTCCCAGAAAGAGCTGGATCATTCAGAAATTTAGAAGATGCTGCAAGAGCCTTGTAGGTCGCCTCACAACAGTTGTATCTGGCTTCCATACCTGAAAACCAACCAAATAAAAAGAACAAATGATTCAAGAGAGAAAGAAATCCAAATAGTGGAAGAGAATAGAATCACCGAAAAGGGTAAAATGGGACTTGCTTAAAGAGTACCCCGTGGCTGGATTTTAGACTTTGTTAGTATGCACATTCTCGTTGGTAAAACTTGATTATTGGTGGAATACACAGACACTGGTATAAATAGGGCCAAATACATCAAAAAGTAACAAAATTCGGTTTAGTTTCTATTTAGTGTAACAAAGAAATATTTTTTCTCAATAGATGTAACAAAGTTTCAACATTTCCCATCTTGTAACATTTGATGACATGGATACCCATTTAAAAAAGGTTTATTAACAGGTTACAGCGAAGTGGATGATAAGCTTGGTACTCGCATCATCAAATGTTACAATGGGTACAAAATGGGAAATTTTCAAACTCTGTTATATTAAATAGGAAATCTGCGAAAAAAATCTTTGCTACACTAAATATGAACCAAGCAAACTTTGTTGCATTTTGATGCATCTCTCCAAGAAATACCTATTTTAGTTGTTTCTGTATACGGATCTGTTACTATATTTATTATCTCTTGTCTGGAGCAGATCTCCACCAGGAACCATGGTCTAGCAGCCAATCCTGCTATCAACCTATAACCCTGCAAATCATTTTACCCGTGAACACAATGCCCTACTAATCAATTTATCAAGTAAACTTCAACGATTCCAACTAAGTTAGCAAAAAAATATCAGCATAGATGTAGACATTCATGATCTTGGCAATCGTTTTAGCCAACAAAACCTGACAAAAAGACCAAAGGGTCATTGGCCCAGCGGTACCCGGATTACCAGTCGAGCCTAGCCTCCCTGGAGGTGAAAGGCTCAAGCCTCACGAAAGGTAAGGAGTGTGTACGAGTAATTGTCGTATACAATATTTATATACTTAAAAGATAAGGTGCTGACGACTTCCATGTTTCATCTTAGCAATTACATATTATGAGACGATAATGGAATTTACAAGATGAGACAAAAAAGAATCTCACCGCGATGCGAAATTCAGACTCGAGTTTAAGAATGGCAAGAACAAGACCCTGCCACATGGAGTAACAACATTGTTAAGCAGAAGGCACCTGACTTAAGTAAGAATCCTCTGCTAGAGCATGAATTACCAAACTTGAAAATTATCAATCGTAAACAATGTAAAGCGTCTTATTATCAAACTGGAAAGGATCAGAGATTTATGCAAATCCTTGATCCTATTAGACGACATATGGTTAAATTAACAGCATTATTGAGCAAGGATTATAGGAGGTGGCCATAAAAAGAACTAACCGATGGTATGAGCTTTGGAGTGTTGGATGCTGTTTCATAGATTAATCTACGCAGGCTTTCTTCAGCATCAGCATTCAGCAGTTTGTTGTTCTCAGGCCGACTTTCTCCTACAATGTTCCCAAGAGAATGCAAGGCGGCCTGTTTTCCAGTTTAAGAGATATTGCCAGTCATAATAAGACATGCATAGGCTGCAAACAGAGCTTTGTGACTAAAAGGCCCTGTTTGTTAGCAGCTTAATGAGACTCACAGCTTATTCGGTCAGCTATACATGACCATTTAGTAGTGGCTTAATGATATTGAAAGTGGCTTATTCAGTAAGCTTCTAGGGATGAGCTTTATGCAGAAAGCCAAGTTTTTTTCTTCCAAACTTGTCCCTCCCAATTAGAAAACACGCTCCTTCTATCTATGAAAGAATTCTTCCAAATAAAAACTTCCCCAATCTATACAGACATATTAATCCACACAGATAGCTTTATACATACAGGACTTAATAGAAAAACCAATCAAACAGCCCCCAAGTCAATAACACAGACAAGTAATGTCTCATGTACCATCTAAGTGACCATTTATGCTATACGGGGAACAAAGAAAAAGCAAGATTAGCACCAAGATGAAAGTCGACGATTCTTGCAAATAGGAAAGTAAAAGTATGGGTGGAATTGTGACACACTTATGAAAAGAGCTAACCAGTTGTTTCCCACGGCCATGCAGATCAAAGGCAGCGCTAACAACATGTCTAGCAGCAGATGTGTTTGACAGGAGCAAGACAGCTCCCTGGATTGCTAGAGCCATTCAAAAAGAAGCAGAACCATGTTTAGATTACATACCACTAAACAAATTAGAACTGGTCAATGTACATATTAAATAGGGACTAGGCAATCATAGTAAATCCAAAGGAACAGATAAAGGAAAATTAAAAGCAAGAAAGAAAGAGAAAAACAAGGAACCAAATGGTTCATAAATCCAAAAGTGGTGCAAATGTGCAATGGTTCCAAGTCCGTTCAGTACTCCAAACATGTAAAGCGAAAGTTAAATGTTTTTTTGGTAGAGAATGGAAAGTGAAACACATATTTCAAAAATGGTGGGTCATCTCCAGTTCCACTAATAGCATATGGCATTGACTAACATACTTACATGACCCTATTTGACCTATTGCTTCAAGACCACATTCACATTCATCTGCATCTTGATTATCTAGCAATGAAAGCCTTTCGTCAATGGCTGAAATCACAGCTTTAATACCTACATAAAGGGTAATGTTAAGATAGAAGCAATCAGTCAAACATCATTTATATATTTGGAACATATTAACATATGCATGTAAGATTCATTGAAATATTGCTAAACAGAATCCTACAAACAGCCTAAACACTACAGCCTCACTCCTTGCCTTGGCCAGGTAAGCAGGCTATCCCATGGTTCATATTGTTGATTTGTAGATTGCAAGTAACTATCATACTTATACAGAGACAAACAGACACAGATAAGAGAGAGAGAGAGAGATACTGGATTCGTCTATAAACATAAGAACATTCTCCTTCGATAAAAGCCGTCCGCTTATCATCATTGCCCTTGACCTCAACATCGATTCAGCAGAAGAATTTCTGTAGAAATATAAGATAGTTAAACAGCTTACAACAGGCAGAGACTATAGATCAGATACGAATATAAGTAACAAAGCATATTTCTATCATGCAAATACCTGATTATAGAAATAAGTAACTGCAAGATATTGGTCCGTAGCACATATTCCATTCCATGCTGGACCTCAGCCAACTTAATAACACAAGATTAAAGCAAGGTAAATATAAAAGGTACAAAACCCATCTCACAAAACAACAAAAATGCAAGGCCAAATCCAAGTCAAACAAGTTTAAAAAACGAAGCGTTTAAGTTGACTTTCACAGAATCTTTAAATGTTAAGTGTACAGGTGATGATGTGTCGATAAAAATTCCCTAACAGAAGCAAGTACCTACTGCTTAAGTACATCATGTAGTGGTTGCAAATAAACGGGAAGTGAAACAATAACAGAATAATGACAAACCTCGTAAAGGAGCTCCAACATGCTCAAGGTCATGAGGGTATCTTTAGTATTACGAACTTCTGCCTCCATGAGACCAAGAAGATTTGAGTTGTAAACTAACGATGCTACTGCACTGGAAGTAGAAAATAGCTTCACAATCAATGCCAAAACTCGTACTCGTCCCTGAAATGAATTTTCAGAATAAGAGACCGCCGAAGTACACATTTGCATAAACAAATTCGATTCTTATGCATGCTATACAGCTACAGCCATTTTGATATGCACATCTCTGCAAAACAGTTCCACGCACAATTGTCACTTAGATGATCAATTTTCTAGTAACTATATTTGTTTCACATTATACGGACAAAGAGTAAAATCTATTCCGAAAATTAAAAAAGGTTAACAGAAGGTAGTTGCACACTGCAACAAAGACTACAAATAACCCATAATTTCTAGATAGCCACAATGTCGTCAAAAAGGATGCAACAGGTCTGGCCGACCCAGATCCTATCATGAACTACCCTGCTGCCTAAACTCCATGTTACATAAACTGATACAAGCATTAACTAGCATACCATTGATGAACATCTTGCTGCTAACTTTGTAATATCTGTAGTTTCACTGGGAGTAGCTGGGAATATGATTTCCTATAAATGGAGTAACTGAACGTCATAACTTCCCATAAATGTAACAAAATATAAGATACAAATTAGATTATAAAGCAGAAACAGATTTCAACTCACGATTCCCTGTTGAGAGCTTGCTAAAGTCCTGATTGCATCTGTCGCAGCAACAGCCACTTGTTCATCACTAAGTCAAAAGAAGTTTGTAGTTGATTTAGGGAAAATGTAACCAGATTTGACAACAGAAAGAATATTGTATGGATATTTTTAAAGATGGAGCTAGTTTATGTTCTCTCCAGTCTCCACAATGAAAGACACAAGGATTACATGCTTCAACTTTGACTTAGCTTATTGAACTTCTAGAAGCAGTATCAGTAATTAATTCATGTTAATTGCTGCATTTTAGAACCCAGAATAGGTTATGAATGAAATCTCATAACTGGAATGATTGCGTCTCCTATAACATCTAGTCACTTTTGCCCATTCTTCTTTGCTCAAAATGACATCTATATTTAATGTTCTGACTTTTCATATGAGAATTTGTATCGGTATAAATTATTTGAATCCCCCATCATTCACATAAAATTATATGTAGAATGTGTATTCCACTTAAAATTGTCTACATACTGCCTATGTGAAAGCACACATGCATAGAAGCTAGAGATGTCATGGTACATGAATAAAGATATTTAAACCAAAAATAAGCTCTGAGAAGTGAACCAAAAAGACAGCATAGATAAAAAAGAAAATAAATTGTTTCAAAGTGTACCCATCAATGAGACAATTAAGCAAAAGCGGATACGCGCAATTCTCTTTTATCAGTGAAGTAGCGAAACCAGTATCATCAAGATTCTCCAAAAGGCTAGAGATCTGAGCATAATAATGAAAAATACCAGCATTTACTTTGACCATATAGCAAACTAACACGCAATATAAAGAAAGAAATCAGCCTTGTCTATCTAACCCCTTCCAGAAAGAGGAACACAAGTGGAAACCAAATTTTCTTAATTGGAATAAGAAGAAAAATAGTTGCTCTCAGACAACATTCAATTCTAATATGGAAACAACAGCAGTAACATTGAGACTGAGAAGAGAAGCATAAGAGATGACACATGATATTATGAACTAAAAAACAATTGTTCGCAGTTTTGACGGAAATGGTGTACACTGACTAGAATGACTGCAACATTCAATCTTTTTGACAGCTCCTACAAAGATTACGACGCAACCGCACAATAAATGTGTTTTGAAGTGGCAATGATTGGTCATTTACATTCATGAAGATATAGCATGTTTATAAATCCTAACATACAGTCTACTATAATGGTGTAACAAAGAGGGTCTGGTTATTGAGTAGCAACCCAATCTATCCCCACCAAGATGGCAAGAAGTATCCAAGATGTTTTATCGTCAGTCAGATAGCAGAATGGTCACTTAAGCTGCTAGAACCCGCAGATATGGATGAAAGATAGAAATTTGTAACGCGACTTTATTCCAGCAGCTTACTTTAAATATTTGCAGATAAGCTCATAAAACTAAGCAGTCTCATATAAGTCTGGAACTTGGACATGTTTTAAGAAAGTCAAGTCCAATAAATATAGATATAGAAGAAATTAGTTCACGATGCCACTGGAGAACGTTATGTGCTGAATATTTACAGAGGTATGTCTTAGATGATCTTTCACAGGTGTCAATACAAGTGTTTCTTGGTTCAAATATGGTATTGGACAATATATTTTGAGCTCTGGTATTAGAGCTTTTTACGTGAAATACTTATCATGCACATACCGAATATAAAAGGCCCAATATGCTTAAAAGATTGGAGACTCACAGGACTAAGCTGGCACAAGGCCGTTCATTAGGCCATGAACACAAAAATATGCAACAAAAGTAGCTATTGTCTGTTAAATAGTAGTTACCGTTTTACAAGCCAAAGTTATGACTCTCTGAGAATATGCTTGCAGGCCAACCACAATGAAAGGCTGAACAAGGACAAAAAATAAATCAACAATGTAAAATCAATTAGATAGTTCAGAAGATGTATAATGACAATATGAAACTGGTAATAATAAATCTTTCTATGGAGCAGTGTTCTAAAGTCAAGCCAAGGGCCACTTAAGTGACCACCAAGATGTTGATCATCCCCGCACCACTTCCATAAGTTGGGGACGCTTATCTGACACTTAAGCATTCTGCACTAATTGACTCTCCAACAAATAGTTAAATTGAGCATTTCCAAAAACTAGGCAAGGAATGACAGGTTTTCCTCAACTTGCCCATCAAAAGACTTCTTTTAGAAAACCTTTTCAATCCTTCCAATTTGGTGGCACTTACATTACACACTATAGTAACTGGCCTTAGCCCTTATGGTTTACAAGGCAGAATATATAAAATGATCAGTGGAATTTTACACCTTTTTCATATACATACCTTAACAAAAAAAATTATCATCTATATCAATAAAATCCTCATTGCCAATTGTCATCCATATTAACAAATTAATGTCAATATTGAGGGAGTTTAATTTGTCAAAGGACTGAAATAAGGTTGTTGCTTGTGAAATAAAGCATGAGACATCAACTATTGCCTGTTGGACTTTTTACAGCCCACCTCAATTGGAAGGAAAAGGATGTATTTGACTGGTAAAAGAATTTGTAGAGGCATGGAAGTAAAAACACAGAGTGGTCAAGGATCACTTAATCTACCTTGCCTTCTTTTCATGAAATGTTTGGCCATCACACTATCTATTTTTACTTTTTACAATAAAATCACATAGATGCTAAAGAAGAACTTAATCAACAACAGCAACACGAAAAGAAAATAGGTTAAGCCAAAGAAACAGACATACCATGTATTCTGGGATAAGAGAGGCCCCATACTTTGTTCTAAATATCTTCTCTAGACAATCAACCAATGCATCCTCCAAACCAGGCACATCTCCTTTGGTTTGCAGCGCACTGCAATTAAAAAAATTCTATTTAAAACCCTTTTTTTCTTAGAAATCAAAGAACTAGACACCACTTGGCAATACTAAAATCTCCAAAACTATCTTATTTTACGTAGAAATATGCTCAGTTTCAATATGCACTTCAATAATTTAGGAATAAGTGACTCAATCACTAGCAAAGGAAGATAGAAGGTAAACGGATGAACTATGTTTCGAGTTAACGTATATTAAACCTGCCTAAATCACTTAAACCAATCAGTTTTTAATTAAACTTGGATCACATATGTACAATTTCCTATGGAACTCAGACTTCATAGCCATAATGCCACCTCCATTTCACAACAGAAACTAAAGAGCAACAAAAAAACACAAATCAGCCTGAATAATCATTAATCAGATAGAGAGATTACTTGATGATAACAGGAAGGGGAAAAGAGCCAATAAATTCCTTCACAGCAGCTTCTGACCGAGTACCTGAAAGTTACATAAACAATTAGTGCCGATCAAAACGCTTTCAAAAAACATTAACCAGAAGTGTAAAATGCAAGCTAACCAGGATCAAACGAGAAGTCAGAAGCTGCTTGGAGAAGCTTTGAAGCATCAACAGAGTAATCTTCCTCCATTGCCGACATACCAGTAGTAGTGATGATCAGTTACAGAAGAAAATCGATGGTAAACCCCTGTCTGTGTTTCTTGCAAAATAATCCAACAACCCACCGCTTCACTTTCTCTTGAGTAAATCACGTTTTTAGTCCCTATGGTTTATTGAATATTTTTATTTTCATCCCTACAATTTTAAAATTATAATTTTCATCTCATAGTTTGTAATTTATTACATTTTTCGTCTTTATGATTTAAACTTTATTGTTTTTTTCGTCTTTATGGTTTAAAATTCATTTTATTTTAGTACCTCATACTTAAAAGTAGTATTTAATTTTAGGGACGAAAATATAAATGAACTACAAACTATAAGGACGAAAACCGTAATTTTAGAATCAAAAGGATGAAATATGTAATTTTTAATAATCAATAGGGACTACAAACGTAATTTACTTCTTTTTCTTTTTTCTTTTGTGATAAGTCATATGTGTATCTTTTTATATGACAGGATCCATTTATTTGACCCGACGTTTGTATTTGATCCAATTAGCAGCCCAACGGGCCCAAACACAATCTATAATCATAATTACAAATTACATACCACATCAATTGGATAGGTATGGCCGTGTGGGTGCTCAAAAAATCGACCAATTCGATCGATCCGAAGAATTTGAAAACTAACGTGATATAATTTTATACATAGCTGGTATAAATTAGGTCAAGCCGTATCTATTGGGTTATAATTGAGTTAGGGTAATTTCAACCCAACTCAACCTGATGAACTTGATGTTTTTTTATACTATGGATTTAGTATGATTATTAAGTCATTGATTAATATATATATATATATATATATATATATATAAATGTTTGTGTGTGTACATTAGCCACTTTTGTATGTTTTCATTTTGATTTTACTTCGTTTAAAACGAGTAGCTAGATTATAAAATGATGTACCAATATTTTAACCCGACCAACTCAACTCATCCCATACGGGTTGGATTGGGTAGGATTGAGATTTTTCAAACCACATATATTGGGTTTGGTTGTTCAAATACCTATAACTCGGCCAACCCAACCCATGTGCAACCCTATGAGTAGGGGAATAAAGGTTGTAATTATAAGAGAACATATATTTTCTCTATCAGGCACGTTTTAAAAATTATCAGTCCAGATTGAACTAAGTAGACACTATTTGATAAGGAGGTTGGGCTCTGCCTAAGGGTGTAAATGAGCCAAGCAAAGTCAAGTAGTAGGTTATTCAAGCTCGTCTCGAAAAAATTATACCATACTCGAGCTCGAATAACCTTTTCAATATAGAGCTCTAGCTCGATGCTTGTTTATGGGCTCGTACTTGCGACCGGTTAACTCGTTTATTTACTTGAGCTATCGTATTATTAATGAACATATGAGTATGTTTGGCTCAAAAAAATATATGCTCGAACGGCTCGGCTCAACTCGAAAATTTTAATCGAGCTTTCGAACAAACTGAGTCGAACATTGGTTTCGTTAAGCTCAACTCGTCAAGTTAAATGAGTTTTATTTTGTGTTCGAGATCGACACGAGTTCAAAAATATTAAGCTCGCTTAAGATAAACGATCGAGATCTATTTTGTGTTAGAAAGATCGACTTGTTTACATCGTAGCCCGTTAATGTGGGTATCATTGAACCAATGACCTTCTGTTACAAATGATTAATGTTGTTAGACTTCCACATTGACCACACAAGATCCATCTATTAGTCACGCATCTTGGAAATTTAGAGCATTTCCAACAACTATGCTATAATTTTTACTAAAATAACGCATCAAAAGTTAAAATCTCAAAAAAAAAAAAACATCTAACTGCATCAACTACTCTATTTTAGCAATCATATCATTAACTATATCATTAAAATATTTAATACATTTAATAATATATTATTTCACTCTCTAAATACTTAATTTCAATGCATACTATTCGTGACAAAACAATTAAATATCACTTTTCTCTATTAAGGAGTCGTTTACCAAACACTTACCTAGTAAGTGCTTATCGGTAAAATATAACATTGTTATTTACTTACCGGGTAAGCGTTTACCGTGATAAGAGTCGTTGCCCTCACTTATAAGTAAAGAAATAACATATTCAAAATAATAATAAAAAAAACATTTTAATGTACCAAAGTATCAACCCGACCAACCCGCACGGTTTGGGTTGGGTTAGTTTGCACTTTGGTTTGGGTTGAGTTAGATTAAGATATTTCAAACCACAAACATTAGGTTGGGTTGTTCAAATGTTTTTAACCCGATCAACCCAATTCATGAGCACCCCTATCTCCTCCTATACGAGATTGAACACTTCCAAACAAAGAACCAACAGAACTACACACAGATAAATATCAACCTTATCAGATCATTAAAAACTAAGAAAACTGGTATCGACCGTTCAAATCAAACTTGGTATCAAACCAAAAACCAATACATGAAACAAAAATGAAAAAAAAAACATTCATTGATGGTCACATAATATATCCTACGGACCCTTGATGTGTGGAAAATAGTTGATACTTTGTCGCACATGAAATGAAAATGGAAATGGAAACCCGAAAGGTTGGGGCGGATCCTGATGATCACCAAAAAACAAAACGACTTACAAGAATCTGGTAAACCGGCGTGCTAATTGATGGGCCCGGTTTATAACCCATAAATGGTAAGAAAGTCTTTTTACCTTCCATCGATACCTGATCATAGGGCCCAAATTTAGCCCAATACTCAACGGCCCATATCTTTATCGTATCATTATATCTGACACACGTGGAACTTTCATGGGACCCACCCCTCTTTATTAAGAAAACGGTAAAGTCATATTTCGAAAAGTTTGATGATGGACCTCCCCTCCTCAACTACTGTCACAACCTATTTTTTCCCTGCCATTTTCACCTGCAACTTTTTTTTTCTTTTTCTTTTTTTAATTCTTGATTATAATATATATATATATATATATAATATATAGATATATGTAAGAAGATGATAAATGTAAGAAGGGATATATATCATTGATCATTTTTATTCTCAAACCAACACGTTAATTGCGCTTCATAAAAAAATTGATATAATGTTTCTCATTTGTGTTGATGTAGTGTAGCTCTTCAATTAGTATTGATGCAATGGTGAAGATCTATTTTCACTCTTCTCACCATAACTCACACCAAAACTCAACTCTCCCTCACACACACACACACACACACACACACACATATATATATATATATATATATAGGTTGATTATTATACAACCTTTGACATTTGTGCAACCAATACAACTCAATCTCAACCGTCCATTTCATTTGATTAATATGTGATTTCATAGAAATTTTGATTGTTTCCTAATATAAAGTATTGATCATAATTAATAAACTATATTAATCTTTCATAAATATTCAAATCATAATAAATGAACTCTCATCATTTCCATAAATATCTCAATTTATTGGGTTGCATTGGTTGTACAAATACAATGGGTTGTATTTGAAACAAACTATATATATATATATATATATATATATGTGTGTGTGTGTGTGTATGTGTACAACTAATACAACTCAATCTCAACCGTCCATTTAATTTGATGAATATGTGATTTTATAAAAGTTTTTATTGGTTCATAATATAAAGTATTGATTATAATTAATTAACTCTAGTTATATTTCATAAATACTCAAATCATAATAAATGAACTTTCATCGTTTCCATAAATATCTCAATTTATTGGGTTGCATTGGTTGTACAAATAGACATGGTTGCATATGAAATACACCATATATATATATATATATATATATACACACACACACATATATATAGGTGGAGGTTTAAACGAGAACATCACCATTTTACAAGAACGCAAGAACACTCTTATCACATGTGATAATACGCGTGAGGAGACCATGTGATGTGCGAACAATGTGTTATACGACTTAGGCCGCACCAAAGGTTGTCTACGTCTATGATTTAGCATCACATTTGATGGTCTTAATGGATTATAGTATCATATCAACAACAATCTTATCACATGTAATAATACATGTGAGGGGGCTTAGTAGTGTAAGGGTGACTTGGCCCGCAACCAATATCGCATCGAAAATCGTCAACATCTTCGATTTAATATCACATGTGTATTATATGTGATGGAATAATAGTATCACATGTGATTGTCTATAGTAAAAGGGTGTTATCAAATGAATGTGTTCTCGTTTGAACTCTTCCTTATATATATATAGATACACATTTAAAGTACATAAAGTTTAAGAAATTATACCAAAGGGCCTTTGGCCTAGCGGTATCGGACCCTTGACCTTTTAGAAGGTCACGGTTCAAATCTCACCATAGGTGAGGAGGGTGTATAAGTTTATTTGTTTCATTTGCCGTATATAAATATTATATACTTCAAAAAAAAAGTTTAAGAAATTATGCAAACCAATTATTTATTGTTAATATAAGTTATTTAATTATCATGAATACTCCATTCGTCCTAAAATAAGTTTTTATATTACTATTTTAGTTGTTTTAAAACAAAAGTCCATTTTTCAAAAATAAAGTTCTATTTACCAATCTACCCTTAATTATAAGATGTAAACGGTCTATTTATTGATCTTTGTTTTTTTACAAACCCTTGATTTATATGAAAAAAATAAATCTACTTTTAGGATAGACGTCAAGTATGCATACATCTCAGCCGCTGCATACCCCATTGACTTGTTTGATTTGGTTATTATTTATCACGAGATTATGCATTTTTATTATCAATAATATTAGTTATTTTGAATAATTTATAAATAATTGATACTTACACGTAAACAGAAAAAAAAAGTAAACATGAATTAAATAAATTTAAAATAAATAAAAATCTGATGTATCTTAATTTTATTGGTGAGACAAAAATAAGACGTGTGAACTTAGGAAAGGTGATTTCTATCCTGTAAAATACATATGGTTTCACTGTTTTCATATTTTTCTTATCACTGTAGAATTCGTTTGAACCCATCTCCTCCCCCCCCTCTCTACACACACAAACACACAGACATACACACACACATATATATAAAGTGTGTGAAGCTCATGAGTCTAGATTCTGGATCATTTGAAACCAGTCTGCGTTCGTAAGACCACATAAATAACATCGAACCTTCACAACACAATAATACTAAAGTAAAAACTTAAAAATCTTTGTCTGTAAAGTTCCAGTATTATTTACGACACAATCTATAAATCTAATTCTATATCCATACAAAGCTCCTTAATATATACACACACATATGTATGCATTATAATATTATATGCATTAATTATAGAATACGTGTGTGTACATTAAAGAATAGAACAATGATAAGAGGGACGGTGGCAGTAGCACAGTAACCTTTGGGTGGGTGGGGCGTGTTGTAAAATCAAAGACTCTAGAGAGGGTAGTAGGGTAATTTGGGCAAGTGAAGTGGGGTCATTTCTTAAGTGAAATAAATATGTCCTCCCTTTCATCATATAAATTATAGCCCCCCACCCCCCCTACCCTCCATAGCCCCCCTAGCTTCCATGTGAATACCTGAACTCGAACCCTCCTCATTTTTTCCCATTTTCCATTTTTTTTAAACCTACCACAACCACCCATTTAATGCCCAAAACCCCATATCCAACCACCGAAGAATTCTCCGGCGACAACGCTCACCGGAGATCAGACTTCAACCACCGACCAATACCATCGTCCAAAATCTAGTTTTTTATCGTAAGCCGATTGTAAAGATTGCATTGATGAAGTGGGTTTATGATCATAAAGTTTAGATTGATGATTATATCGAAAATGTTGGATGAAGTACAAGAACATAAATAGGACGATGATGAGCTAAAACATTGGATGACTGGTACGAATACGTAATACAAATCGCCTACAAAAAGCTCCATTATAGAGCAAAATCTTAAAAACGACAACTACATTTCAACGTACAACAGATTATAGCGTACTACCATATTTATTTTCGACATTCAATACTCCAAAGGACCAGAGATGTATGGATCATCCATGGATAATTAATTAAAGCCGCCGCCATGCATGTTATCAGAAGCTCCAGATACAGTCCAACTCCGTGGGACCAGGCTTTTGATTGTCTGTCTGTGAAGCTGAAGTGGACGGTGGCAACCAGTTCTCACCGGAAGAACTCCCGTAGTTGTTGCTTGTATCGCCGCCATGCATGGGTGGCGCCGCCACGGAGGAGTAGATGAAAGGAAGGTGAAGATTCTCTTGTAATGTTCTCAAGCTAGGGAAGGCGGAGAGGGTGGTGGGTTTTGGGTGGCACATGGTGGTGGGGTCGAAGGTGGAGGTTAGTGGCTCCGGCGGAGGGATGTCGAAAAGAGTCTGGTGAGGGCCAAAGTTGGTGGTTGAGGCTGTGGAGAAACAGGGCACGTGCTCTTTTGAGGTCGGGTTGCTGTCGTAGGAGAAGCTTTCTCGTTCGGAGGTGTAGGCGGAGGTGTAGGCGGAGGAGTCGAGCAGTGGTGGTAGTGAACCCGAAACGCCCGATGAAGAGCTGAGTTCTTTTCCGTAACTCATCCCACCACCGGTCAACCATTTTTTTCCGGCGGCGGCGACGACCCCAACTCCGGCACCACTTTTCTTGAACACACGAGAGATCACCCATTCATCCTGATTACCAAAATAAATCATAATTAAAACAAGTGGATTAACTTCAAGATTCATAAAGACACGAACTTTGAATCATTAATGGTGTAGACCAGTGTGCACAGTCTACAAATACATCTTCTAAGACAGGTAAAAGAGCAGTCTTGCGATCTTACCGTTAAAAATCCTGCATTTAATACTAACTTTAACTAAAATAACTAACAAAAAGACACCATGCAAAATCTAAATCTTAGGCCACCCAGCTGTTCTTGTAAGGGTGTTCTAGTGTATACTCGACTAATCCCACAAAAATTGTGTGATCAACGAGATCAGTATTCATAAACTCAGTATCCATCAACGAATCATGACCACACTCATCAGCCACAATTGCTATGTATGTGTGGACTAATCTTAATTGTTATGTGCACATGAAATACAATCCTACATCACAACCCTTGTGGTTGACACCCAACTGTTGATGCTATGAACCCTAGATTTGGGCCACGGAGATCTTTAGGATACCTTGGAGCTTTTCGAGAGAAAATGGTAAGCAAATTTGCCTTCAAGACGGTATTCATGCATCACCCAGTTGCTTTTTTCTCCTTTTGGAGCTCTCCCACGGTAGAAAACTAGGGTTTTCTTCATCCCAATTAGAGCTGACGTCTTTGAACTGTAGATCTCTCTATCTTTTCCGGTGGCTTTCCAGTAGCCGGCCTCCGTCGCTCTGTTGGTCCTCAGCCCAGTTGGGTATTTCCGGTCCCGGAGACTGAAAAAGTACCATTCTTTCTCCCCCATCTTTGCTCTTTCTGTAACCAAAACAAAAGGAAAAGAAAACCCTAAAATGTCACTTTACAGTTTACATAAGAAACGGTGTTCGTATCGATTAATAGATCAACAAAACGTACGTGGAAGCTCCCATGGTTCACATTTGTTAAGATCAACATCAGAAAACGCACGGCCGGTGAAGCTACCGTCGAGGACTTTTCTGAGAAGATAACAAGTGATGAGCTCTTCATCAGTAGGATGAAATCTGAACCCAGGTGGCAAACATCCTTCAGAACCAGTAGTGCTATCAAAATGGTGGCTGAAAAACTCCATAACCACTCACAATCTCCACCGCACACGGCTGTCCAAAAACACCCGGCTGGCGTTTTGCGTTGGTGTGATGACGAATGAGATGTGTATGTATATATATAGGAGTTGCAGTTGGCGTTTATTGGGATTCCAAGAATCAAGAAATTAATAATAATGTACTATATATATATTATATATATATCATGGAAAGCTTAAATTAAAACTTAGGGTTTTCGTTTCTTTGGCTCTGCAACTCTGCCGTGGCCCTTATCATATCCATATGGGTTTAGAGAGAGAGTATGTGTTAAGAGTATGCGTGCGTGCAAGAAGAAGTGTGCAGGGTATTCCTCTTGTCAGTGAAGAAAAAGAGAAAGGGAATGGGAATCAGTACATAGTTTGATATTTTTAGCAACTATATATACATATATATATTTGTATATCTATATATCATTTTCTGATTTTGAATCAAAGTTCATAACAATTTATGGTTGCAAATATTTGAATCGATCAAAACCCTTTCTAATAATGGATTGGAATGATCGAGTATTAATCATATCGATTAAAAATGTCAAAGAAGTTGATGGGAAAGTGACAGATATGGGTAGGGGCCTTTTTGTTCTTGGTGAAATCATGGTGCAGAGAGGTGGTGGCAAGATGTATCTTTCAACCCTAATTAATAAACATTCTGAGTTTTGTGAAATATGTTGTAATTTTGTGTTTTTTTATTCGGTTGTATTGTGGGTTCGTTTTAAATAGACGTGTTAACGAGTTGAATGATATAGGGAAGTTTAGGGTCGGTTCTAGAAACTAGTTATATTCGTTTTTGGTTTGAGAAATGTGTCGTATGAGTATTTGAGTTTGAAGTTGGATTTCGAATTGTTGATGCTCGTTTGATGGTTACGGTTTTTTGTTACAGCATACAGTTTTGTTCACAAAAGGTTATTTACAATCCCAAGGTCGATTTAACATTTGATGTGTTACAACCCTTTTTAATACATGTTTATATGACTGTATGAATTAAAATGTTTACTAATAATTTGGACTACATGTGTGTGTGTACAAACACGTGCGCATAATAAGGTGGTTCTTGTGAAAACTCTCACTCTTGTTGAGAAACATAGTAATCATGCACAACCATCGATTGCTTTTGATCCAAGGACGATGATGTCTTGTGCGTTTTTTTTTGTGAATGAGAGGCACTTTGTCTTTTGGTCTGCGTTTGAGCTTGTGGGAAACGATTTTGTGAACTTATGAGGCTAATCGTCTAAAAACTCACAAAATTGTGAGAAGTTTGAGAAAATGTGTATAATGTGATATTTTATATGATTTTTTCATTTAAAACCAGGATTTAAGATACTGATTAACATATATTTGTTTCATAATTTGAAACAATTTGACGTATTTCTGAAACAAAAATATACGTAATTTTTTTACATTGTAAACTGAATATACATATATATACACACATATATGAAACATGTATATGTTAATCAATACATTGAATAGTAGCCTTAGATTGAAAACATCATGTAAAATAACAACTTAAGATAAAAACTCTCTTGATTATCACAATACATGAATACCTCATTTAATTGTATCCCTATATATATATATATAGGGAAGGGGTCAAAGTGAATCCATGTGATTTACGAGAACGCGACACCCATAATTGTTCTCGTGCTTTCGCAAAATAGAGGGATTCTCGTTTGAGCTCCCACACATACACAAATACACATGCACATATAATTTTTCTGCTTCTAATATAGATGTTATCAATTATGTCACTGTATGATAAATAGAAAACACATACACACGTACATGCACACACACACACACACACATATAATACAAATTTGTCATTTTATGTCATGTCTTGAAAAACGTTTTGACGTCTAAGGCTTGAAACTTGATCTCCGCCATGTTACTCCTCATATCATTGAAACAAAAACGAAAGGCGTATCAGAATAGAACAAACCATGAATCAAATTTAAGAGCTCGAGTTCTTGACATCAAAAGAATCAAGTTGTACGACACTTCATTATATGAGTACTACATCCAATATATACGTATGTGTGTGTACGAGTATTCGAATGAGAAATGACTAATCGGCAAGAATGCCGTAAATTATTCCAGCCGTTCATTTTTTGGTTTATAAGGGATAAACATTATAATCTGAATCTGAATAATAAAGGGCATCAAAGCAATTTAATAAATTATATATACTTATATAATCAATTAAAATGCATAGTTGTTATCCCTACATTATGTTGGATTAAAGGTCATGATTGTGTTATAATCCCATCCTTATCGATTTTGCTTAGCTTACATTCATGTATTCACTTATGAATATATTAATATTAAGAGTATCTTCATATATTTACATAAGATGCATATTAGAGTCACTTAAAACATGTTTATATATTCATACTAGTTGTGTACCCGCGTAATGCGGCGGGAGTCATGAATTTTAACGATTTTGAAGTTTCACTGGTTTTATAAGATAACATTTAACGATGATATATGTTACACTTAGTCTTTACATATTAATACAATTTGATTAAATAAGAGTTATGGTTCCAATTACAGACTATCGATGAAAAAAAATTATATGACAGTTTAAAATCATATATTTAAAATCCAACATATTTAAACGACTCCACAATTGTGTTCGATTTACACCAAGAGCAAAGAACCAAGAAAACACTCAAAACCAATAAAGAAAACTACAAATTTGACATATCATAAGCCATGAAAAGACAAAAAAAGATGGGTTTTAGAATGAAATTTCAACTGCTTACCTTATTTCATGTCCAGAAACTCAGATTAAGGTTGAATTAATACATGTATATATATAACATATTAAATCAGAACATATTATACAGTGCAATTTGGACAGCCTAACCCCAAAATATATAGTATATATATATATATATAAATAAATAACTATAAAAATATAAATCGTAAATATTAAAATATTTTTTCACAGTATATATAACATATAATAATATAATTAAGTCAAACACTATTCAATATTGGACTCATTTCGAAGGTATTAACGAGACGATTATAATGGTGTAACTTGTTAAAATAAAAATGTATTTTTTAAACATGTTTTAATTGATATACAATTATGTATATTATTTTGATAAAAGTTTAAAATAAAACATTTAAAAGTAAATGAAGTAAAATAAATTAATTAACTATATAGGGATATAAAGTGTAAATTTAAAATTATAATTAAAAAAAAATCGGTTGTGACTTGTGAGATGGTGAGTGTATGTGAGGGGGTGAGTGTATGTGAGGAGAGGAGGAGGTGAAAAAGTGATATAAAGGGTATCTTGGTCAATTAGTATTTTAAGATTTTAAGACTTTTGTTAATTTTGTTTTATAAGATAGTATAGAAGTATAGATTATATAATCTGATATTCTTGTGAACCTTGTATAGTTATACTGTAAATATAATTTTACATTGTTTAAAATCATGTGATCGTTGTTGCTTTTATAGTAACCTTTTTTATACGCATTTCATATCCATATAAAAATCAGTATTGTTATAAATTTTAATGTAACCAGTACAATATAATTGGATTATAGCACGTCTAAAATATAGAACAATCGTAACATATATTTTATAGGGCTTAAATTTATATCGCCAAACCAAAAAACATTCTATCTAAAAGTGTTACGACATGTTTATAAGATGCTTTTAGGCGTAATAACAAGTTTTCTTTGTGACGATTTTAAAATAAAATGTCATATTAACTATTTTATACGGCATTATTTAAAAAAAAATGTTATATAAAAATATTGGTTTATAATATTTTTTTTCAAAAATGTCATATAAAATAACTAACAGAACAATCAACGCCTTAAAGCGTTATATAAACATATTGTAATGATTTTAGTTTTAATCTTATAAACCTAAGTCCTATAAATTATTTTATTAAAACATTTAGATAATTTGGAGATACTATAAAACCAATTTTGTTGTAATGATGTTAATAACTGAGTACAACAAAACTGGTTTTATAACAATATTGTTGTTATTTATTATTTAGTTTGAATTCCAAATGTTTTATATAATATAAATGAAATTGGAATTTTGGGGAGGATATTGTTCCATAAAAGCTGATTCATATCTCTGGTGACAGAATAGTACAACATTAAATAATCCCACGGACAGGGACGCGCCAAGGGTAAATACGTCCATTCACCTTGCTTTCTTTTGTGTCTCTACGAGTATTTGGTGTGAGTGTGAGCTATCATTTTCTGTACTTTTTTCTCCTTCTATTTGTTTCTCTCCTAATAAATGATAACATTTCAACAATTCAACAAATGGAGGCTAATGACATTTCTATGGGTTACCATTGATATCTTTAAATAAATTTTAATATGTTTATTATTATTATTTAAAAAATTTTTAATTAATATATATTATTCATTTTATTTTCTGTTTTTATTTATTTATTTATATTATATTTTAATTAATATAAATTATTAATAA